TTTTTTTCTCCATACTGGAGATAAAAAGAAGGAACACATTCTAGTAATCCCTGCTCATTTTCACGGCCATTCTTGCACCTGTAACTCAAATAATGAAGCCATTTGTTATTTATATTGCACTTTCCCCTCCATTCTAGATTTCTAACGATCTGACCCTGCTTTATGGCCCTGACAAAGCCTGAAACCGGTGTGGAGTTCCAATAATTGAACGATATAGGGAAAAATCTTTAGCTGGAATGAAGCAGATGTTAGCTTCATGCAGTCCCCTAACTTGATTATTCTTTGGACACGTTAGACAAGCATTAGTGATTGATAATGACGCTAATTAACCCCTTTCCTTTCCAAAACAGCAAACCAACGCCAGCAGGATTCAGCAAACAACACACGCAAAGTACAGCATATATCAATATCCATTCAAAGTGGATCAGTGACACAACTTTACTGCCCAGCAAACAACAAAAATCTTCTCCTGCTGACACCAAACCAGCTCCAAATCTGTTCTAAGAGCTAACAGCTCCCACCACGTGCAGGGCAGGGAGAAGAACTGTTCGGAAAAGGTGCATGGGGCAGAATCAGAGGCACCATTCATTTTTTACACTCACGACCCTGCGCATTGCATTATCGAGCTGGTTTAAATCACTCTGCCCTCACTGGCTGGGATGGGCTTCGCGTTGCTCCCCATTGGAAGGGCGCTTGTTATTTTAGCTACACTTTGCGAATGCCAGAGCTGATGCTCTGGGAATCTGGTCTGGGCTGAGACAGGCACATACCGAGGAGGGAAAGGGAAGTGCACATTCTGGAATTTAAATGCGAGGCAGAAGACGAGTAAACAAACAAGGATCTGATCTGATTACGCAGTCAAATTTATCATGGACAATAAAGAAATCGCTTTTAAATGTAAGGGTTTGGATAAATGAATACTCCTAGCAAGTGAATAAAATGTATTCAATTAACTAAAAACCTTGTGCACTTCTGAACTGAAGTGGAATCGACTGTAATTGATTTATTTGAAACCAGAGGTTAAGGACTGAATTAGCTAAGTACAACTGGGTATTTCAAGCCACTGACTTCTCAAATGTCAAATCCCTTCTATTTTAAATATTATTTCAGCTGCGGGGCATTGCTGTCCTGATGACTGTTCCACCAGTTAAATCTCAAATTATATTAATATTTGATTTTTGGAGGGTGGGGTAAATTACGGTACAAAGAGGAGGGCTGTCCTTGTTCACGGTGAAAGAGCACCAAGCTGTATTTTGGTTCACATGTAGGAATTAGCTTAGTGTGGCAGTGACAGTCTAACATTCAGCCACCGCTCACCCTTCTTGCAGCCATTCTGGGGGGGTGGGTGGAAAATAGCAGATTTTTGTTTGGTGTATAAAAGCATGACCTAGAATTTCACCGCTGTGCCTTGATCACAATGCTAAAAATGCATCCAAAGAATGCTAAAGTAATTAGCACGTTTTAGTAACTGCATATTGGTCACAGCAGAGGAGGCTGAACCAAAGCTAGTCTGATTTCCATTATCGCCTGTAAAATCCTTCCTTAGAAATAACAGTAATAAAGAAATCCATGCAAGGTCATTTCATTTCTGTTTTCTGGTGGCTTGCTAATGCAGCAGCAGGATAGTCAAAATGCGCTCTCCTAGCATAAAGTAGCTAATTGTATCTTTAAAACATTATTTATTATGACCTTATAATGTTCAAGCATAAGACTGCTTTATACATCGCCCAGTATAAAACGATTATATTGGGTACAGGTTTCAAAAAGTAACAAGCATCTGAAAATCCAGATATGAATGAATGGTATTTAATAAGATTGTTTTCGTTTAAAAATGAGTATTTATGTGTTGCTGTAGAAAGAGCAGCAATGTATTGCTGTTTATGAATGCTATTGTGCCTGAGGTTAGGATCCCACACACAATCTGAGATGCAGCCAAGAAAAACAGCCCTGATAGACAATGCTTCACTTCACCTGCTACAGTACTGTGCATTTCATTTATGTCAAGAATATGTACAGTTAGGGTTCATTCACCTCATTATTTTGTTACATCTACTTTACGGTTAACCAGTCTCTCTTGGAAATAATAAATAACTGTTTTTAAAACAATTGCAGCTTTGCATTCAAAAGATCCACTTTCAATTTATAGGAAAAAAATATTCACCATTTTTATAAACTGGCTGGCTCTCGAAAATAGAATTTAGACTCCACCAACTCTCTTTCTGCTTGGCAAGATTGATTTTACACTGCCTTCCATAAGTAGATTACCAAAGCAAAATGAAACATCTTGGGCTTTATCTAATGCTTTGCTTCACCAGCCCTACCAAACGTCAAAATATATGAGCAAATGTTAATTCTCTTTGCAGCTTTATTGTAAACACCTCCCTCTTAACCGCCTCAATTCCTGCCTGAGCAAAAAGGGAAAAAAAAGGGGGAGAGAGTGAGGGAGGGAAGGAAAGAGAAGAGAGAAAAATCAGCCACCACCACCAAAATATCATCAACACTTAAAGGAGACCATCTCTTTAAAATGGCTTTACATTCTGAATCACATTAGCCACCCTTCCTAAATTATAATATAATCTAGCCTGATCCTGACTTCACCTACTCCCTGGGCCAAGGAAAACAGATTCAAAGTCTGCATTCTCACGTTTTTACAGACCATCTCCAAGATGCACACTCCCATTTTTTTTTTCCAAAGCAAGCTTTCCTATTTTACAACCGGTTTCCACAAGAAGAAACTCAGGATAAAAATTTCAGGCCCATATAAACCAACACAACCACCTCCAAATGTCAATCTGTGCATTCCACTAAAACACAAACCATCAATCAGAAATAATCCGTCTCCTGCAAGATTTCACTAAAGTTCACAACCGTGAGATGATTTTGTTGGCATTGACTACGGAGTTTTTCTTTTTTCTTGAGGGGGAGGGAGCACCCAGCTCTGATTCACCGGTATATAATATTTTTCATAGCACCTAATTTTTGGTATTTGATTGATGATTATTCTTTTTAAAACACCTTTCTCAAGATGTTTTTTCTTAATCTCTGCTCTGCATTCAGACGACTACATGTACAAAATATTATAGGCTTGTAATTCTGCACGCTACATATGAACATAAATAAAAACCTAGAGGTCAACATAAATAAAATAAAACTTTATTTTTTTTTTAAATAAAATTATGTTTTGGTTAAAGAAAAGATAGTGTGTCATTTTGTTAGTAGTACAGACAATTTTTTATCCAAAAGAATACATTGTGCTTTATTGTGTCATTTGTCTGAATACAGACTCTGTGGAATATCTAAATGATACCCTGCTCTGAACTCCAAGTTGAAAGTAAGTTTTTATTATACTTGAGGGAAACAATGGGTTCAGCTGCTTATTGCAAGGAGCAATTGTCAAGGGAGAGTTAAACTCAATTACTGTAACCATACTGAATAAAAAATACTGCCAAGAACAAAAATACGCCTGGGTAAAGACAGCCACTGAATAAAAAAAATCGACATAAAGCGTATCAAATATTTATTTATCTGGGCAACAAAGGACTATGATACATTGATAGGCATGGAAACTACTGCCGGCACAACTCAATACAATACAACTATAACTGCTTCCAATATGGCCAGTGGAAATACAGGATACCAGGTGGTCCCAAATGTTTGAAGTTCTTTTGGGGAAAAAAAAAAAAGAAAAAAAAAAAAGAAAAAAAAAAGAGAAAAACAAAAGAAAGGGAGAAAGGAAAAAAAAAAAGACGGGGGACAGGAAAGAAAAGCTAAATCTTGTTTTAAAAGACAATATTAATTTATTGCTCTGATGGTGCTTTCGGGAGGACAGTGGATGAAAATAACTTCTTTCATTTTATACAACACATAAGGGTTGTAAAACCACTAACATGTTTAAAAACCTTGCCAGGGTCCAACATCACTTTATTTTATCTTCAATGAGAAACTAAATGTCATACTAATTATATATAAAAATTCATGGTTTTTTATTTGTTCAGCTGCTTCATTGTCGCCTTTAACATGCTACAACAGGGCTAAAAATGATGAATCCCAGAGAAAAACCCCCAAAAAACCTCTGATATCTAAATAAGTACCATGAACCACATGATGAACTAAGAGGGGAAGATTTAAAACCCACTAAACAAGAGGTAAACGAGATCACCAGATAAATAAAAAAAGGCTTAAAACAGACTCACCATATTTACAATTCCCATTAAATTACACATAAATAAATATATACATACATGAACACTGATTCCCTTATATAATAACTGTGAATCGTGTTGCAATAGAAAGTTCAAGTTGGTCGCTTTACCTTGGACAGGAAAAAGTTCTACAACTGAAGATATGACATGGAACTGCTTGTGTTTTGTGTTCAAGTTTATTCACAATACTGATAAAATGTCATCAGTCCTTTTTGCCTTTCATTTGTTTGCTGCTGCTGTTGTACTTTTTTCGCCTCTTTTTTATGCTTTTCATTTTTTAATATGGCTACAATCTTAACTGAAGTTTATGTAAGGGAAGGTGGTGATTCAGTCCGGTGAAGCTCATAGAATTTTTAAAGTATTGTTTATTTCTTTTTGTTAGTTTTTTTAATTTTTTAATATATTTTTAGAAAAAAAAAAAGTCCTTTTCTTTTTTGTTTTGTTTTTGTGATTTTTTTTTCCTCCTTTTGTTTTATTTTAAAAAAAAAAAGTTCACAAACTCAAGACAGAACTTTTTTTCCTTTGCTGGCTCCGTCCCCCTGTTCTGTTCTCTTAGGCTCCAGACTGGGGGTAAAACGGTGGTGGCAGCAGAGAGAGGAGGGGGAAGTTAAAAGGGAGCAAATGGAAATGTGGATGCTGGGAAGGGGTGTGGGGAGAGGGCAGAGCAGTCCTGCAGAGTCAGAGAACAGGATTGGCAGAAGGAAG